GCTTTGTCATTTACATTACTGCAAATCTTCTTACTGCTTTAGTTTGTATTACTCTTGCTGCGCAACTTTAAGAATACGCCTTCAAGTTAAATTTCTCAAGTTTCGTTCTTAACGTACGAAAGATTTTGTTAAAATCGAAGTTTTAATCCGCTGCACTAATTCACCCCCCCCTCTTAGTGCCGCTCCGATCCTAACAGAAATAACTGCATGATTTTATCAATAAGTACCAATGACCAACCAAAGAAGTTTGATAAGAAAGCTATCAACTAAATAAACCACAATATTGAAGCAGCATGAGATTTATGTATTAGGATATAAACAAATGGCCGATGTAAAAAAATGTGGCCACTAAGATTATACTGTCAGGAGTCAGACTCATGCACTCTACAAAAGAAGTATGGTATTGAATGGTCTTAGTTTACATGGATTTCAGATTACCTGTTTCCACATTGCAGGTTTTGGATTGTCCTACCATCTCTTCAGTATGGTCTCAAAAGAAAAAAAAACTCCAGTGAGCCTAAGAAAGTATTGCTTTTAGACTAGAATTTTCCGTATGTCTTCTCCAAGATTTTTTATAAAATCGCAAATACAATCTGTCATTCAATTATGTGTTTAGAAGAAAGTGACTTATCTAATGCATATTTATTTTAATGTAGTAATTAGACTTGCTTAATATGATATTAACCATCCCCGATATACAGATTTTTCTTTTAACATGTATCTATGAACAATCCAAAACTTAGCTAACTGTTGCAAGTAAACCTTGCTGAATTGATGATCTTCATCCTTCAAAGCTAAATTCTTTAGTATAGAATTTGTTTAGTATATGAATGACCCAAAACAGAATTGTCATCACCTGCTTCCAATCTTCATGGTTGCCAAGTCAGACAACTAGTATATGTCAAATGTCTAAGCTACGCGGAGTGACACACATGCAGCTACACAACATAGACTAATTAGAACCTTGAATTTTGCTTATTTATGACTGACAAGAAAATAAATCTAGGTCATGACAATTAATCCCTCTGTCGAGAGATGACTAATTAACAGTTTGTACTTGTAGAACCAACAGATAGAGACATTATTTACTACCACATCCCCAACGACTGGTTCACTTACTAGACTTGAGCATGCATTTGGCGTGTTATTCTTTGTGTTAGCCATTTTTTACGATGTCGGTTTTAGATTAAAGATGTATTAGTAAATGAGAGTACTACCATGCACTTTTTGTACATATATGGAAGGATATTATAATCAAAATACCATCTTCATGTGATTATGCAACAATGAGAACATAATGGGGTTAGCCCTGCAATACTCACAGTGCCCTCCTGCTGAACTAAAGTCCTTTCTCTTCCACTGATCAATTTAAATTTGGATAATATAAAATCTAAGCTACAAATTAACAACATTTTGACGCAATGGAAACATCAACATGCTAGATATATGTCACACAACAAAGAGAAACAAGACTGTGAAGCAACCAAGAAAAAGCTATAAACAGAGTAGTAATAAAACTTTAGCAATTGACCAAGCTGAAGAATTACCTTCAATTTTAATGCCCATTCAATTATAGACAAGTATTAAATAGGTTAATTTTTAAGGGTACAACTCAATGCCATAATTAAGTTGCACCTTTGTAACCAAGGTAACTAAGGTGAGTCATGGAAATAGTTACAGGAGACCCTCCCAAACACCTTATTGGTGGTAGCCTCCTGCACCAAGCAACTCTTTTATTAAAGGGATCATGTTGAAAATGACCGTCCATAGTTCGTAACATCTAAATTTCTGTGATACTTATAGATGAGTATTTACCAGAATTTATTATTAAAAAAAATAAAAATTAAAAATTGAATAGAAAAAGCTTCAGATATTTCATTAGCAGTTGATCTCTCGTGAACAACAAGGATAAAGCAGCACAAGCCCTGATAGAAACCAATTTGATAATGGTAAAGATCTGTTTAAAATTTCGCTGTGCATTGGTGCAAGTCATCAATTTGGCACCATATGGACGGGACCTATCGAACAAGGGCTAATAAATAACGAACAGGCTGCCGAGTTTAGTATAATACTCGATCAAGCAAATATATGGATCACATAGGAGAATATATGGAGAAGAGATAATTATGCTATCAATGAAACGTTGACACCTGAAATACCACAACGAGAGTCAAAAAAGGGAAAAATAAGAATGTAATCCCCACAACAAGTTGACATACAGCAATAAAATAAGCCACCATCGATGAGTGTGAAAGTAGGAAAAAGAAGAGAAACGAGATCGAGCTCACTTGAAATCGCAGACCCGCAGGTGCCCTCCATCCTTGCATGTGAAGCAGTAGTCCTCCGCTATCTCCTCCTTGTTCAACTTATTCTTCTTCATCATTCACCCTCCTTTACCCAGATACCGACTAAAGAAAAATTCTTTAAGTTATCCCCTTCACTCCTCTGCTCTAAGAACCCCAAAGACCTCCACAAAACCAGGACTATTTCCCCCACTCTCGTATTGCATGAAACAATCGATCGGAGACGCAGAAATCCATCATTCCTCTCCAAAGTCAAAACAAAATCCAAATTGAGCCCACGATCCAATCGGACTCCCGAGATCAGGGAAGAGCTCACCGAAACCTTTAGGGCGGGTTGGGCGAAGGCGAGAACCCCACGCGGAGAATCCACCGAACGAGAGGGGGCAGTCTCGAGGCTCTTGCACGAACCTCTTCTTTTTCCCTGTATTCTTTCTGTAATGTGTTAATGGAGAATCGCATTTCTCAAATGACTCTTATGTCCTCAGGATGAGAGTGTCACCCACGAGGCGAGCAGCGAAGCAGGCCCGTCCGATGGATAATCGGCGGTCGAGATGGGGAGAACGATGAGGGCGGTGGGGAAAAAGTGTGTGGGCGATTGGGTCGAGGAGGAGGGTTTAAACTTTGAACCGGGTTTGGTTATCTTTAATCGGGTCCAACTCGAGTAAATAAATGATATCCCAGCTGGCCGTCCGATGGAAAATGGGCGGACAAGATGGGAGTACTGAGGTCGCGTTAAAAACACTCGTGGTCGGCAGGATTCGAACCTGCGCGGGCAGAGCCCACATGATTTCTAGTCATGCCCGATAACCACTCCGGCACGACCACATGTTGGTTAGATTGTTAATCTACACTTATATAATAATATGAATATTCATGTGATTAATATTACATATCGGTGGTTTTTTCTATGTTTTAATATTATGTATAGCTAATTATGATTAATATAAGTTTTTATTGTCGGTTAATATAATAATTATTTTTATATTTAGCGAAATATGTATATACAATGGATTTGAACTGAATTGGTAATTTCCAAATAAGATAAACGTCACAACCACTTTTGGTTTTCTATGGTAATATTCGTCTTAAAATACTATACTGCTTGTAATTTTGACTTTGGAGACTTAAGCAATGGGGTCTTTACCTCTCAATATGACAAAAATGTACTATCACTTTACAAACATCTTATCGAATCGGCTGATAATTTAGATAAATATTACAGAAATCTTTGAATAGACGGCATCATTTCAGAAATATCCAAAATACCAAAAAATCGCCCTATAGTTTTCTATATAATATTTCTAGAGGAAGTGTGATTTAAGTACAAGACTTTATGATCATCCGTCAAAATTTTTACTAATTAAGTCAATCGATATCTTTCTTAAATATATTAGAAGCTAGTTAATATTGCTATTATAGATTTGTCTTTAATAAACTTTATCTATTAAGTTTATAATTTATATTTTTTAATGAATAAATGACGAAGATAATATTCGAGCTCAAGACATTACGATAAACTATTAAAGTCTTTACTAGCTAAATTAATTTGTTTATAAAAGATAAATGATAGATGTAAGATTTGAGCATGAGACTTTACGATAAACTAAGAGTAGTGGGGAGATAGTCAGGAGAGGATGGAGTAGGAAGAAGGGAACATATTTGTGATCAATTTATTATTTTAATTTTTGAAAGAAAAGTATTCTTCTTCATATATGCAATATTTGGATTTATCTTGAACTAATCATTATAATTAATATTCATATCAATTATTTGGCAAAGCTTTGACATATCATTTTTTTTATGTGCATCTCAAGTATTATTATTTACTTCATCAAAATGCATGTTTAGATAATTTTGACATGATGTGTTTGGTAATGCATCTGTGCTGGTTTGTATATGCTTTGTTATCCATATGAGAGTGATTTGATTCTAATTTGCAAATGTTATACTGATTTAACCTAAATTTAAGCTAATATTAGCTAAGGAAAACTCAGAAATAGGGTTAACTCAATATAGTGTAATATACTCTTTTTTTTTGTAGATAAAAATATATGATTGAAGAATGTTGATTATTTATCATAAATGGGTCAAATTATGTCATTATTCGATTAATCCAATCCAACTGTATCATCTTTAAAATAATTCAGTATGATATCTTTCATAAATAGGTTTGACTTCAAAATTTTTTGGTTAATCATATCACGTCATGACTTCAAAATCATATTAAACCAATCTAACTGTATCATCTTTAAAATAATTCGGTCTGATATCTTTCATAAATAGGTTTGAGTCTGTGATAGCCGTAAATCCAGTGTTGATAGTTATAAATATACGATGTGAAGAATGGTGATCGAGAGAAGACCTTTCGTGGGTTGAGAATGTGACAGATTGACTGTTCCAAGTGAATTGGACTAATGGTTTGCATAGATCCTTAGAATTGCATTTTGAATAGGTCAAGAAAAAAATCCTAGGATTCCTTTTTGATCGTTTGACCAAAACAAGTTAGTCTTCCCCATCCTCTCTCTCTCTCTCTCTCTCTCTCTCTCTAAAGCAACAAGAACTCACCGACCGCGTTGCAGAGAAACGAGTTGACTTGGAAAAGGTTTGCAAGTATCCAACATGAATGAACTGACGGCTTGACCAAACTGGGAGATGACCTCAACCCAGTCAGTACTAAACCTTCCTACCTTTATCACCTTTCTATTCCGTTTACTTTTCATGATTCAGATAACACGCAATAACTACTGCCCTCAAACTGGACTTCCTACTTCTCAAGTCTTCTTGCCATCAGACCACCAATCGTCGTCCCTTCTCCAGTGGACAGAAAGAAGAGAGAGAACAGTAAGGCATGAAAGAAGTAAACAGGGATGAATCAGTCAATGATTTGCTCGTTTCGTGAAGGAGGACACTCATTGACATGATCGGTCTCTTCCTTCAGCTAATGCATGAATATTACACCCATATCTCCATATCATCCACGCTTATATCTCCGTACAACTCACTCCCCATGGACACGTCACTGTCTCCCGCCTCTCTCCGGCTGACCCTTTCAGAGCTGACATCCGACGATGGCGGTTGCCGCCGCTCCTCGCGCCAGGCGGCTTCCTGCATCTGCGCGTCGACCGCCATCCCCGACTCGGACGCGGCGCGTTGCACCGACGGCGGCGACAAGCAGGCCCACGTCAGCGCCACGGCGCGGTCGGGGAAGTTGAGGCGGCCGGCATGGCTCGGGCCTCTGAGGAAGAAGACGGCGGTGTCGTGGGCCACGGCCGCGGCCTCCGGGGTGGCGTAGGAGCCGAGCCACAGGCGGTCGCCCGTCCCCGGCACGCGGATCTCCGACACCCACTTGCCCCATCTCCGGCGGCGCACGCCCTTGTACTTCGTCTCGCCTCCTTCCTGGCCGTGACTCATGGGACGGGTCGATCGGAGACGGCAAGCTGCGGTGTTCGTCGAAGCACGGGGGGTTTATAGAGGTGAAGTTGATCGAGTTGACGTGAGCCGTGGTCAACGTGGACTTTTTGAAAGCCTGGAGAGGTTGACGAGCATAAATCTGGAACACAGATTAACCACAAGGGTTGGCCGTTGGAACAGGACAGTCAACATTTTCAAGGTCAAACACTTCGTACGGTCGCCGTTGATGCGGTTGGAGGAAAACATTGCATACTAATGCGAAAAATGTTCATATGTTTGACCGATGATTGATGATTTAATCTTCGTGACATGATGTGATTACTATAGAATTATCTATTTGTTGGAAATCCCCAAAGGCTTATTATATTTATGAGATTATGAAACATAGGCAGAAATTAATCAGCATTAGGGAAAATTAAAAGAAAAAAAAGGTTACATACATCCCTCCAATTGTCACATCACGGATCTAGTAATATTTCAAAGGGTTTGACTATGACTGAGGAACCAAACCATAAAAGAAACCAAAGGATTGTTCCACACATGCGGAATTGACTTGGGCAATGGTAAACCATGTCGGCACCTCCCGCTGATGGATTAATTCAACCTGTGGGTCCCAACCAGAAGAATTCAACCTGTGGTGGTAAATTAACTGGGATGAGAAAATCTATGGATGTTTTTATGGTGCATTAATCACCAATTCTTTGTCATTATGTTTATTATATGATATGATATGATATGATATGATGACAAACTCTAGTAAATACTAGAAAGAATAAATTACATGTTTAATACTAGTTAATATACACTCGTAAATAACATCCATCTAATCTTTTTGTTTATCTTATTCATGTCGAAACTCATTTAAAATTAAGAATCGTTATATTATCGTGTTGATAGTTGGTATCAATTCATGGATGGACTATGACATGCTTATCAGTACCGATATATTACATCTTGATATGTTAGTATTTATCAATTTTAAAAAATAATTAAAAAAATTTTATCCAGATTTAATGATAGTTTATTATGTTTAATTAATAATATATATATATGTATATATGATTAACCTTAATTAATCATAGAATAGATTAACACAATATATATATGTTTAATAATAGAATAATAGAATATATAACCTTAATTATTAATATTAACACAATAATATTAATATATATATATGTTTAATAATATTAACACAATAACCTTATATATAATAATAGAATATATATATATGTTTAATTAATAATAGAATAGATTAACCTTAATTACTGTTAATTTGGACATAAATTTATGATAATCGATCAAATTGGGACTAACACAAAAGAATAATTTTAATTAAGTTTAATCTTCGTAAATATACATTAATATGCCTTCTGGTCATATAATATAATAAATAAAACTTAGAAAAAAGTTAGTTAAATAACTTTAAATTTGAGGGAAATTTCACTATATCTCGAGTTCCAATCCTAAACCAATAGCTTGATTACCACTAATCACTAGTTAAGAATTTTAATAACAAACAAGAGTGTGAAGGATAATGAATGAAATTGAGAGTGAGTGATAGAAGGGAACGAAGGAATTTAAAGCTCGAAACAGGCCCTAATAATTAATTTGATTATAGTGGTCAAACTTGACTTGATTTGGATCGATATCAGTCAAATATCAATTAATACTTACACAAATCAAATCAAGCCATCTAAACTTAATGGATCTAAAATACCACATTTCAGTTTGGCTTCTTCGAATCATCCTAATGTTATCAACACTAATTGGATTGTTATATGTATTGCCAACAGATTATATGGAGAGCTAACATTCCAATTTAGTATAATTATATGTGAATCAACTATAGTTATGGTGTATAATACATTATATATAATAAGCTGTGGATTAATCCGATAAGGTGTACCATATACATTTTTATAATACACATCTAATCACTTTCTTGTTACACACTGAAAATTGATTTTTCTGCATCATTTTTTCACTGTTTTAGTTCTGTAATGAATTGATCTTAGAATGAGTGTATAGGTTTTTCCACCTTTTAAAAGAGAAAAATAACTATAATATGATTTATTATCATTATTCAAAACAGTTGATGAGAGAGCCCGGCCTACCTCGACATCCAGCTCAGATAGAAAACTTCTAACATCAACTCGTGGACCAAGCTATGTCGACACATCAACCATGACACATTTGTTCTGGAGACATATCAACTCATGGACCAAGCTGTGTCGACACATCAACCATGACACATTTGTTCTGGAGACATATCAACTCGTGGACCAAGCTGTGTCGACACATCAACCATGACACATTTGTTCTGGAGACATATCAACTCGTGGACCAAGCTGTGTCGACTCATCAACCATGACACATTTGTTCTGGAGATATATTTGTTCTCTTTGACAAAATAAACTACAATTATGATAATAAAAGGTCAAATAGTGGGCTAAATATAACTTCATTGAACATCTTCAATGATGATGTCCCGTTTGACAAGAAACAATGGACTGCATTACCAAGTCATAACGACTTATTATTGCCTTCGGATGTTAATCCAGAAGTTAAAAGGAAGACCAGCTCTTTTTCGTTTTCTTTCTTTTGGGATACAAGAAGAAGAAGACCAGCTGTTTGAATAGAGACTGCAAGTTTCTCCCTCATCTCATAATGCCACTGCCTTGTCTGTGGTCCTGCCACTGCCTTGTCTGTGGTCCTGCCAAAGCTGAAAGCTAAATGAACTGCCAACTAAAAAGCTCAAACAGTCAATGAAGACTACTTCAGATGACAATTAGATCCCATCAATAAAGGGGAGAGGAGGACATGCATGAAGTTGACCCCACTCCGCAAATAAGGGTAATCTCTTTTCTTCATCTGTCCCTTCTGCTGTCTCTTTAAACCTTTTGGATATTTTCTTGGCACAGTCTGCAATGGAAGTTTCAGTATACGCAAGAAGGGTTACAATTTTATGTGCAATACAAACATAGAAGCAACAACACGTTCTGCTCATTGCATGCAGCTTTAATCTCTTTCGAGCGACCTTTGTTGATGTTTACAAGGAGTCACTAGTATTGAACTGGGCAGTACATTGTTGTCAGCCCCTGGTTCTTGTTGTGGTTTAGGAAGAACATCTGAAAGTATTATGTGCCTTGGTAATCATTACTTCTTGTACAAAGGAGATTTAGTTGTTGACTTTATACATCAGTAGAGTTGAGTCTAATGTTGTATATTTTTCCATATGGATGCATTGAAGAGTATATATAACATTGAATCTCATTTGGTACAAAAGAATATATTGAAAACAGATTGCTGATACAAAGAAGGTATGGAGGACAGATTAGATGTCCAATGATCAATTATGATAACATCTATTCTCTTAAAAGCACACCAACAGTGATAGAAGATAAAAAAAAAACCTTAAGAGTGCCATTCATGCAACTTCATATTCTCATACCTCCTGCTAAGGATTTAACCAAAACTTCAACAATCAGCATATAATAAATAAACAACATGAACAATTAACATTCAGAAGTTACTAAAAGCAGCTGGAAAACAATTTTAAGTGGAAATAGTTAACCCCCTTTTTTTTTGGTCAGAAGTAAGAAGACTTGCCAAGCAGAAAACCAAAAAACATGGTAAAATGCCAAGAAGGTAATATTCCATATTATAACTTTGCATAGATCAGCTTCTACTACTGAAGACTTGAATGAAATACTACCTATCTCCATGAATCCAAGTATTCTTTAGACAACAACAATTTTTTTGCTTCTCCTCATGGCAACAGATCCAATTCCATAACCTATACTTCAACAGCTTCGAATGAGAAGCAAAAAACTGTGGTCGCCAAGTGAATTCTCCAAATGAGAATACACTTGGGGAATACTTGCGATAAAGAATACTTTCGACAAGTAAATTCTGCAGCAATTCAATATTATATATATTTCTCCGAATGAGAAATCACAAGAGGCATACTTGGTAAAGAGCAAACTACTTTGAAGTATTCTCATTGACAAGGCAACCATTACATTTCATTCTGCTGCCGCTTCTATCAACTAAGGTGACAAAAAAATAAAAAAAGAAGCATAAACAAAGAGAGGCACTGAGTGCCAAAAGGATGGCAACAGATGACCTAAAGCATCAGTAAATTAACAAGGCATGATATATCATGATTGCTATGTGATGAATTAAAGCATCAGTAAATTGCTATGTGAATACAAACTTTGTCTGAAAAATTCATGTGCCAAAAATGTTGAATCCATGAGAGCGAACACCAGTCCAAAAAGTTCGAGTGCCAAAATAATAAATCCATGATAATAAACATACACCAAAAGCAATCAGTAAATTCAATATGGACTTTTTCCTCAAAATTCTGATTCCTTTGGAGTCCATAATAAGACATAAAACAAATGTATTAACAAGAAACAAAATGAACAAGCAGACCATTCGAGGTTACTATCTGCATTAGTAATTCTACCAGCACAGCACAGCACAGAAGTTCCATCACAAATGACTGAAATTAATCACCATCTGAGTGTTTCTATTACAACTTAAAGATCGTATGAACTTGTGTCACTAACTACAAACTAATGGATATCCAATCCAAAGCAACTATCACAAAGTTTTTTGAGTCCTAAAACAAAAAATTGACACATGTTAACCTATGATTTGGCAAATCAAAACTGTCAATCAATCATTTGCATTGCAATTGAAAATACTAAAATGTGAATGCCACATTAAGATAGAGTAAACACGGTACTGGCAGTCGCAACATATCACATATGCATACTTTGACAAAACAATTAACTTGCATAAGAAAATATGCTAACATTAATCTCATCAGCAACAAAACAGATAGAGCACATCTATGGAAATAGAATTATCTTAGATATGACAGACCAAAACCATGTAGGACTTGTTTTTGTAACATCTGGGTGTTATCATTGCCTAAACCATCAAAATCAGGAGAATGAAATCAACTATTTAACTCATTCAAACAATCTCCAGCTGCTTTGTTCACCGCAATCATGATTGCCTCACCTTGCTCTTCTTAATTTTCTTCACCTTCTCCAAATTCTTCGTCTTCTTGATCTTCTTTTTTGTTCCATCAGCTTTGGCAGTTTCTTCAAGTTTCTCTCCATCATTTTCCACCTCCATTTGCTTATCCACTTTCCCCTTCTTCTTCCTCTTCATCTTGCTATCTAACGATACACCTGCACTCGATTTATCACCTTCTCCTTCGATACCATCACCATGGTCATCCTGTTCTCCATCATCACAAAGTTCTTTGTTATCCTTCTTGCCTTTCTTCTTGATACTCTCTTTCCTTTTTTCCGTCCCTTGCTTCTTCCTCTTTTTCTTCGTAGCACTCTTCTCAACTTCCTTATCATTGCCTTCTTCACCAGTCTCATTTTCCTGCACACCATTATCATTATCCTCTCCTCCTTCATCCATTTCCATGTATCTTGTAATCACTTCATGGATTCGTCCCTTCTTATTCTTCCTCTGTTTGTCCTTCTTCTGGCCAGAGAGCTGCTCATCCACTTCTCCAACGTCGACAACCTCGCTCTCACCATCATGCTCCAGATCTTTCTCCTTATCCACATCCACAGATGCTGGCACGTTGATCTTGAGGCCCATCTGTGGGACGGCCTGGTAGACCGGTAGGGCGACTGAGCCAGCGGCCTTGATGAGGACGGAGCGCACGTTTGCCCACCCCTTGGGCACGTGCTCCACAGCCCCTTCAACGATCGCGTTCACGTTGTCTGCGACCTCCTCCGGAGTCATCGAGGCCCGCCCAACCTTGACGACGGTGCAGGTGCCTTTCGATGGTGGATAGAAGAAGGCGGAGTTGAGGCAGCGGCGAAGCTGGAGGGGCCAGCCGGGGCGGGAGAGGTCGAGCGGGAGCGGGGCCTTCCTCTTGCGGAAGAACTCCTTGCCGATGAGGCGAGGGAGAAGGGGGATGATGCGGCGGTCGGCGAAAAAGAGGTTGTGCGAGTCGCAGAGGCGGCGGCGGGCCTCGTAGGGGCGGTAGTCGGAGCGGAGCGATGAGAGGCCGATGACCGCGTCCACGGAGAGGGAGAGTTCGCGGGCTCGGTCGAGGAGGGCAGAGGCGGAGGCGGAGGGGGAGCGGTCGTCGAAGAAGAGGCAGAGGGAGGAGGAGTGGTCGGAGAAGAGTGGGTGGGGGACGGGGAGGAGCTGAGGGTTGACGCGGGCGGATTTAGTGTTAGAGGGGAATCGGTGGAGGGAAAGCTGAAGGTAGAGGAACTCATCGTCCTCGAAGAGCTGCGCCTTGCTGTCGCGGGAGCGGAGCCACTGGAAGAGCGCGTCCGCTGCTTTCGTTACCGCCTCGCGGTTGATGCGAGACGAGCCACTATTGACAGGTGCCGCCGCCCCCGCCGCCCCCGCCGCCATTACTCTTCACAGGGAGAGGGAGAGGGAGAGGAGAGGAGAGAAGGCGCGGGTGTGGAGACGAGACGATAGAAAAGAGGGGCGACGAGGGGAAGCCGGCCGCGTACTAAAAACCCTAGAAGGCATCAAATCGGGTTATCGGATTCGGATCCTTACCGGGCACGAAAGATGCAATGTGGACATCACTTTAATCAATATAAATATTTTCATAAATAAATAAATAAATATATCATCTTAATTAATAGTCTTGAAATTATTTCTTTCTACTTAAGTTTAGAAAACGAGATAGATAGATAATCGATGAATATGATAAAATATAATTGAAATATTCAAAAAATTCACATCAGATCCATCAGAATCTAATTAAGGGATTTAAGAGGTTTGTATATGTATATGTTTCGGAATACTCTCCACAATCCATTCAAATTTGATTTAAACATATCAAATATACACAACCAAATACGAAGTAACTCTGATCACCGAAAGGCACGCAATCACATCATCTCATAAAAGGAAGGGTTGAGATGCGCAGTCTCACCCAAGTCTTCTGTGAGTCAAGAGAAGACCAGCAGACACAGAATCCATTGCCATGGATTCCCATATGTATGTGCACAGTGCGTATGGCAATCTGAGCTCTATGCATACTGCCACCAGAAGAGAATCCAAATCTCCCTCTCTCTCTCTCTCTCTCTCTCTCTGGTTGCACCACCAGCAGTAGTGACGAGGAGAGCGAGTAGAAATAGATCTTCTTTCTACACTGCTATCTCTCTTCACTGGTTCTTGCCAGTCAGTGGCTTTCTCTCTCCTTTTGCCTCCCTTTCTTGGTTTCAATCCGTAGCCAAAAAGCCCCATGGATGAAAGGATCCCACTGCTGTTTACTTCCAGTATTCCCCTTCTGGTGTTCACTCATCTCCCTCCCCTCACCACTCCATGAGGTCTCCAGCCACCTCAGACAGAAAAATATCTGCCTCCTTTTCTCGTGTGATGTGATGTGGGGCTTGTGATTCTTGATCTTCTTTGTGGTTGAGAATGCGATTAATTGGTTCATTATCTGTTCTGGATTGGTTTCTGATTTCGTTTGATCTTGATTTGTTTATGATTGCTAGAATTTCTTGGGGGTTCAGTATCCAGTCGACCTGTTCATGTTAAATGTTGAATTTTTAGCCACTTAAATATGTTCAGTCACAAAAATTGTTGCTTGTCATGGTGATATCTTGTGGAGGCTCACAATTGGATGCACCTGTTTGTGCTGGTTTTGTCTTAATTACTATGCTGCATCATATACTGAGGAAAAGGAACCTATTTTGGTGCATATTGTGTGACTTCTGAATCTACTTATAATAGTAATTAGCTAATGGTTACAGGGCACCTTTTACATCACTTTGAGTTGGTAACTATTGCTAAATTGGTTTGGTCTTGCATTGGATGTTTACCAAATACATAAGCCATTGTGGATTCCAGAATAATTATGATTTGTGCTGTCATTGTGATGTATGCCCCAATATAGACTCTCTCCATTAATGAGCAATGGTTTATTAGTTTGGTCAAAACTGTATTAGCATTGAGAAGCAAAATTCTTGTTGTCATTATAGAGTACTTAGAGGCCTAACGTTTTTTTTTGCATTGCTCGGTACTTGCCATTTTGAAAGCTGTGGAGCTATTTTCGCAGGTATTTGGCTGGACTGTTGGCTGAGAGGCAAAAGTTGGGACCATTTCCGCAAGTATTTCCATTTTTCTGTAGGCTTCTAAACCAAGGTATGCTTTCCTATGTTGCTGGACTGGCTGTTGTAACATCCAATTTTCCAATTTGGTTGATGTCTTGGCTTCTGATATGCATTTTCTCATTTTCCATGATCAGGCAATGTTGGAAAATTCATTTTGGTGAATTTACTTGTTGAATGAATTGTGTTTATTTTGGAATTAGGAGTTCTTTGATTTTAGCAATCTGCCAATTGAATTATTCATAGTGACACTAGAATTGCACTATACTATCTCTTACCAAGTTGAATATTTATAGATCACACTGACATCTACATTTTTTCCCCCCTGAATCCTGCATTGCCAGAAGCTTTGTGCGCTGGACCACCCCTCATCTGTTTAAAAAGTTGGATTTATTTTCTTTCTTTTCTTTTCAAAATGGCCAATTGTGTTATCTTGCACTCTTTGCTTTATTTTCCAGTTCAGGTACACAAATAATTTTTTAGCTTTTGATATTCAGAGATACATATGGCCTTCTTGGTTTCCAGCTATGTTCTTGGATGGTCTTCTGGTTTACTATCACTATTTTCTGTGAGTTAATAATTTCCTGCACATAGTTTTTCATTATTTATACACCCCTATCTTGATCTGATAAACTATGCTCATTGTATAATTAAGTAAACTTAGCTCAAGTGCAGGAAAATTATATCAGATTCTTCCATATCATCTGCTTCATTCATAAATTTGAAACGAAATTCTGCTCGCATGAGGCTTCTGCCACAAGAACTTCTTTTTCCTTCTAATCAACTCCGTCTTCGGTATTGAGATATCAATGTTGCTGCAGAAATTGTGCGGGCTTCCGGTTTAGCACCTAACCAAACTTTTGTGGAACATGAGAGAATTGAGCATGTCACTCCATTATGATTAATTGGGCACCCATCCAATGGTGGACTGATGGATCTGGAGGGGCGGTCAGGAAATGCACACAGAGATAATGCTGTTATACTGTTTGTTGAGAACCATATTTATGTATATAATTATATGTTCGACCCTCTCTCTCTATATATCATATACATGTATGCATATATTTATATGTATGTACGTACCAATCTGTGTATGTTTGTGCATGTGCGTATGCAATTGCGAGCCCCTTTTGTCTTCCTCTAGGAATCATTGATTTCTTTACTATCCAAGTGTAGAATGCTAGAACTTGAGCTACTTCTAAATATTGGGAATAAGAAGCCTGATACTGTAAGTCGATTGATAAAACAAATGCTAAAAGTTTTCTAAGCCTAAACAGGTTGAATTTAGAGCTATATCATGTTCCTAAAATGGAGTTGCAGTCATAGAGAAAATTACATGAAATGTTTTCAGAGATCTGCCGACTTATATAAGATAATTTTCTGATCTAGAAGAAATTCTTAAGATGCACTTTGGGTGATTGAGTTTTCAGTTATATTGTTTCATTTCATAAAATTACATGCTGCTGAAATGTTTGAGTTGCAAATATGGCCGTGAGTCACTTATAGTTGTTTCCAACACTATGAAATATTTGATATCAGCTCAGCCTGGAAGCAATAGGAAGACAATGAGGTAGTTGTAGTTTTTACCTTGGAGCAGATATCATCCATAATCAAGATTTTTGGAGTTGATGCCGAGAAAATCACTTCAGTTTGACTTTTTTTTTTCCTTTTCTTTTTGAGTGTGTCTATTTACTTTTGATTGACCCACCCAAGCAACTTGTGCTTTGATTCCTAAGGCATACACTTCCACCCAAGATTAGGTTTGCATCCTGATGTTAATGGTCAACCATGGAGTGCTCTAATTAAAAATCTACTACCGCTTACTTTGGAAGAAATTAGTAACTTGCATTTATGTCATATTAATTGTCCTTCATATTTTTAATAAATATAGAATTGCTCTTGGTTTTGAAGCTGATATCGATTAGATGTGGTGTTGAAACTTTCAGCAGGGTCTAAAAGTTACTTTTGTTCATTGTTGAATGGCAGCAGTCAGATTCAGTCTTGTCTGGGTTTGCATTCGGAGGATAGTTTTTATCACACATGTAATTTAACTTTGAAGGTTTGATATAGTAGGAAGTATGAATAGGTGAAGCTCCAAATGTAATATAATATTTTTTAAAAAAAATCATGATGGTTATCAGTCTCATAATTGTGGACAATTCTCGCTATTGTTAGGCTCAGTGATCGGGAAGAGGAGATTGTGTCCAAGTCGATGAAACTCGTACATTTCAAATATGCATCCGCCTGTAGCTTCACCAAGAGGGGTGTGCAACTGCAATCTACCACTGTTTGTGGTAAATCATGGAATTCCCTCCCTCTCTCATTTCATTACCAACTTCTTGGTATAAGACTGCCATTGTGTCCTCTTGTTTTCACCAACTTAAACCTAACTTTTCCTTAAGTACCCAATGATTATCCTGAAAGAGGCTCGAAAAAAGGAAGGAGGTCGAGGAACACTTGGTAGGTGTCAGAATTTCCATTCGAAAATATGTCAAGTAATGAAAATTCATGCCGACACCCACAAACACAGTCAATAAATGACCAAATCTTGCAGGATCATTGTTGAATTGATTAAAAATTGAATTTTCATTGTCCTTCCTTTCCTTGCATGTAAATATTTATGAATGTGCTTGGGTTGGGGTGGTAACATCGGCAATGTTGATCATGGAATCCATTGCCATGCTTCCTGTTTGAAAATATTTGGTTGAGAATCAATAAACTAAAAGATCAAAATGTTATTAATGCCGATTTAGGTGCCACGAGGTCCAACTAGTCTATTAGATTTCTGATAACTTCTACTTTGATGTCATTCAAATTTAGAAGAGCTAATATAAGATATTTTGCTCAATATAGTATTTTTTTTCAATATTCTTGTTACCTGGGGTCATCTGCAATGTGAGAATTTGTTTTGTGTTTGATGTATTATCACCAATGGTTACTTTTCCATTCAGGAAAATGAATACTTTTCACAGAACAGGGATCCTTCAAGCATCAGCTCCAGGTTGGAATGGAACTGCTGGAGTTAATACGAGCCCTATCACAAAGAAAGTCATCAGGTTAGATATTCCTGTTGACAAGTATCTTAACGCATGCGGAAATTTTCTAACTTTGATTCTTTGTGATGTCTCTTCTCTCTACCTAAATAATGAACTCTAAACAATGCTTTTAAGTAATATTTGTCATATGACCATTTCCTTCTTGAATATATTTCTAGGATGTTTAATCTAAAATTTATTTTTGTTCTCTAACAAACCATCGAGTTTTACAGAAGCAATATAATTACTTGTCTATTAACTACTCAATTTTTGTGTGTGACCAGGAAGAAAAGCTAAGGGATAACCGTGATACGAGCACCTAAATGAGCCACTGCATGTACTCGTGGAGGCAGAGTTTACAGCAGACATAGTTGACCTTTGTTTAAATCAAGCTGTGACCATATTAGATCTTGTGAAGCCCATGGTACATATAATCTCTCTCTGAATCTGTCTTCGTCGGTGTGCATGCTCATGCTTTCTTGTACCGTGCACTTCTGATGCCAAATTTCGCATGCAAGCACAATTGATTGAGACTGGTCAACTCTTCATCTTTCAGGTTGAGTCCATGGATTACTACAAGAATCAACAACTGAGGGAGTTGGCTATACTGAATGGTACTTTGAGAGAGAAAACCCTCATATGAGCCCCAGCGCATCTCCCTTCAACAGCACAGGAATGGAACAGGCGATGATCTGAGTTTCTAGTAGATCAACCCAATCTCGATTACCAAATCCAGGTTTTGTTACCTTATCAGAGAATTTTTCTGATACACATGACTGCTAATTGATGGTGCTGAGATCAGTAATGGTGCTGGGATCAGTAGCAGGGCTTTGGACCCCAATAAGATGATTTCTAGGCAGTTCTTTGGATTGGTCATATCCTGCGATACAAAAATTTTCTGCATGATAATTGCCTTTAACTTCTGCGCGTGAACACAGCTCTTGAATTTGTTTAATTACTTATTCTTTATTGTATGTTTGCTATTGTAATAAGTTCAAATCAGAATGGATTCAATGACATATGATTATAATAGATCTTTTTATCTTTGGTTTGCCTATGTGCTGCATATCTTTCTTTACTCCAAAATTATCTTCATGAATTCATCAACATCACTGTTATGGTGCCTTCTTACCCTGCAACATCTATTTGTTATGATGCATTCTTCTGGTTTATATGCATTTCCGTTGGACCCAACTGTGACCATAATCTGAGCATCTGCTCACTCTTTGGTTATTCCACATGACATCGAAAATGCATCAACTGTCCGTATCCTCATCATCCGTCCTTCCTTCCTCAATCACCCTTCGAGATTTATGCCAAGGACGATTGATGTCTTTGCGGTAGCCATGGACTCAAAACCTAAGTTGGTTATCGACATAATTCAGATTGACAACGACTAGTCTTGGGCTTGGAATCATCAGATCGGGCTGTCTCTGGATCAACAGTCCACTTCTGGATTAACAAGACTACTCAGGATTTTTTAACACATTGACAGTGATTTGGCTGATGATACTAAAATTTAATGTGGAAGATAGAGCACCACAAATCATTTGCTTGGTTGATGCATCATGGTGAACTTTGAACTGTGATAGGTCAAGATGATCTTAGAGTGTTGTTACCAAACAAAGGAAACTATCTGCTTACCATCTGGCATATGTCAGCTGAGAAAAATACACTCTCCCATTCTAGTGATTTAACAATCTTTTCATAACATAATGTAGATAATAAAAAGAACTGATCTTAAAAAGTTGTCAATATCGTTTCCTAAACTCCACCTAATCAGACTCACTTGATTCGGCATCACACAGAAGAAGACTTTATAACAGCCTGTTAAGTACCTCAAGGATTGGAAGAGAAACCGAAAGCGACCAGATGAACTTACCCAGAAGGAGCTTCTGAATGCCACGATGAAACTTTCACATTTGTATCAGCTGAGCCCAACATCATGACAATTTAACAATGAGTGAAAACACATCCTGCCCATTCATCATAACAAAGACAAACAATTTTTGGTGTTATGTTTCTCCATCGTCCTAGAAGCATTTCATCCATGGAATAACATGTGACAGATAACAGATATTAAGTTGCAAACATTAGTGCCCAAGCATAATGTTTACCAAGTGATGTGAGTCAAGAGTGCAAAGTTTTGGATAGTTTTACATGCATTTACACAGAATTATTTGAAGGTAGGCTAGGGTGCAGTTTATCTCCATTTATCGATCTCTTTTGAGGTTGCTTTTATCAGCTTTCTTGTACTCTCCATAAGTTCATCAAACAGGATTTCAATCTGATTCCTGAAGAAAAAAAAAAACCAAGGAATGATAAACATTAAAGATTTATGCTTGGCATTAAAGTTAAAAGCCAACAATTAACGGATGGCGGCAGCAAATATGACTTTTCATCGTGAGGACGACATCAAGAGCGAACTTAATGATTAGCCAAGAACTACAATTTAATGGCTAAAACTAATATGCTTGGTAATGTAGTCAATATCAAGAGTTTTAGACCTTGGTTAACCTTCACTGGGTGGAAAAGGTGGAAGATCCAAAAGAATGAATCTGGATAATGGAGCACTAAGACATGGAAATTGTCAGTAAGCTCACCAACCAGGAAGTTGAGCTAAAACAAATTCACTGAAGCACAATGGTCTTTGGACATCTGTAGAACAAAACATGATAATTGCTCAAGATAAAAACTAATAGCTATTAACATGATTTAGTGTCTTCGACTGCCTTTATTAGTCTTAGCAAATATCAATGATCTGTGTAAGCAACACCATTATGATGACTTCATGCTTATTTTGTCAGCTAAATTGTATTCAATACTTATCATCAATTTGATTGTGTTGGTTTTAGAAAATCAAATACCTGTTCCTCTCAATGTTAAGATGAGTACCAAAATCGGACACAAAGTTAACACTTAAGAAACAGGATGTCATTCATGATACTTAGTCATGTTAGACTTGGTTAAAAAACAAAAAGAAGGATTACTTACTCAGATGAACCATTTCGCACTTTATGGAACAACTTTCCCACATTTGTATATCTTCGGTTATCATCATATGCAACTCCTCTCCCAACACCATAACCAAAACCTAACCCTATTCCACATCCAGCTCCAAATCCAAATCCAAGCTGTAAACCAGGGAATCCAGCCCCTATTCCTGCACCTGTTTAATGAGATGGAAAGTACAGACATTCATATACATCAGTCAATTCACAAACCATATGTAGAGGCACAATCTTAGGTAGACTTATAATTCATATGGCGTATGTACTGCCTAAAGAAAAACCTTTACCACTTTAAAGTTTCAAAATATGATTTATCATTAGATGACACTAAAATCATTATTATGCACATAGATGATTCGCATATTATTATGCACGACAAGAAATCAAATCTATATATATTGGCCTTCTCTTATTCGTCGGAGACACCAGCAACCTGTGGCGGCAATTGCTAATTTGCATAACATATTCTTGGTTGCATATCATGATTCAAAGAACATAAAGATAGCAGGCGCTCATTACAAATCAAAATGCTTATTTTAGTTCTCCCAATCGAGTCCATATCTACTTCACAAACATCTATAGATGAATTTTGTGTCAAAGATCCGTGCTTGCCAATTAACGGTGGATAGGCATGAGAAGTTTTCCTTCATTATAAAAGAACATTCAACCAAGGCTAGGCATACCGCTTATGTTCTAAATCCCGCCATGAGATGGGGGAAAAGGCTATTTCTAGCTCCACCTCCTCTGAACTGGTAAATCGTGTCACTTGATGTGCAATACATCCTCGAAGCAAAGTTCAAAGATATAGCAACCGAACCTATCAAGAGTCAAGCCTTTCCAAACACTAAGGGTTTTGGAGACTCAGAGGAACCGAAACTACCAGAGCTTTCTAGGATCAACCAAAACAAGGGCAGAGAGGAAGGGAAAATTAGTAGAGAAAAGGATACATGTACGAGTACGAGGAGATGGATATAGTGGCCACCACCTCCGACGAGACCGACGCCGAAGCCGACGCCGCAACCGGCACCGAAACCGATGCCGGGCCCAACCTTCCCCAGATCCTTCGCCTTCAGCACCGGGAGCCGCCACAGCAATCCCTTCTCTTCCCCGCCGCCGCCGCCGCCGTTCCAATCCATGGCGCTCCAAACAGCCCGCTCTCTCTATCCGTCCCGACGCCGCTCACTCCCGATATCTACCCGCGGCTACCAAAAATATCTCTTACTGAGTTGGGGTATAAAAGCCATGGTGGGATCCACGGCCACAAAATCGTGCCACTAGAAATCGCGTTCCCAGACACCGGCGAGACAGCTGATGGGTGCGAATCGAAGAGACGTGGGTATCCTCAAACGATCCGATCCGATTCAAATTTCATCTAATCCGAATCCGATTTGAACGAACGAAATAAATCCAAATCTTAGTGAACAATTAACCCTTAAAACTTGGATTATTTGCAACGCAACGCATAAATAATCAAAATAAACATACGAGGAGAGAAAATTGGTGGAGACTTGGCACGTTAGACCCAATTTTGGCGGGATTCGCGCCAAATCCAACAGAATCCGAACGGAATAGAGTTCTTACGTGTAGACCGTTACGGAAAACAAGAATCACCAACGGAATGGAAGCAAGACAGAGAAAGCAAACGTGATCCGGAATTAGGAAGGATAATAGAGAATAATTCATCTCAACCTGGTAAACACCTAATCCTAACTCTCCTATTTTAATCAGATCCCCCCATTCAAACTCTCGTATTTAAACCCACTGCAACGCCATTTTCCAGTCATTATTCTCTTCAATTCCCCTTTCATAGATTGGGTTAGAGAGAGAGCGAGGAAGGATGTCGAGTGGAGGTGCGACGGCGGAGTTGGTGGTGTCGTTCGGGGAAATGCTGATCGACTTCGTGCCGGACGTGGCAGGCGTGTCCCTTGCGGAGTCGGGGGGTTTCATCAAGGCGCCCGGAGGAGCCCCCGCTAATGTCGCCGTAGCCATCACCAAGCTCGGTGGCCGCTCCGCGTTCGTCGGCAAGGTCTCTGCTCGCCCCCATCCATTTTGGTCTCTGCTCGATCGATGGATCTCGGTCTCCTCCTCCCGTTCTCGTTCCACGAGATATTCAATCTTGTAATTCTGGTGCAGTTTGGAGATGACGAGTTTGGTCACATGCTGGCGGACATACTGAAGAAGAACGGGGTCGATGCCGAAGGGGTTCGGTTCGACCCCAATGCGCGCACGGCCCTCGCCTTCGTCACCTTGAAGAGCAATGGCGAGCGAGAGTTCATGTTCTACCGTAACCCCAGCGCGGACATGCTCCTCACCGAGTCAGAGCTCAACCTTTCCCTCATCAAACGCGCCAAGATATTCCACTACGGCTCCATCAGCCTCATCTCCGAGCCCTGCCGGACCGCCCACCTCGCCGCCATGCGCGCTGCCAAGCAAGCTGGTATACTCCTCTCCTACGACCCCAACGTGAGGCTTCCTTTATGGCCGTCCGAGGAAGCTGCTCGAACCGGCATCAAGAGCATTTGGAAGGAGGCAGACTTCATCAAGGTGGCATTTTTATCCCATCTCTGCGGGCAATGCGCCAAACTTAATCGGGTTTGAGTTTCCGCAGGTTAGCGATGATGAGGTTGCTTTCCTGACGCAAGGAGATCCATGCAAAGAGGAAACTGTGAAGACGCTGTGGTACGATGGATTGAAGCTGTTGGTGGTCACAGACGGTGAAAAGGGTTGCAGATACTTCACAAAGGTGCCTTCTTTTTAATATTGTAACCTTGTGCAAGCGTCGGTCGGATACACTTCTTTGCTAGAAGAAAGGCATCTAATCATATTCATTTGCTGCGTTTTTTTCGGATTTGGCATGCAATTTCTAGGATTTTAAAGGACAGATACCAGGATATGCAGTGAAAACTGTTGATACCACTGGAGCCGGAGATGCATTTGTTGGTGCCCTTCTGGTTTCAATTGCCAAGGACAACTCCCTCTTCAAGGTTCTTCTTCTTTTCTTCTTTAGCACTCCCTATTCGTTGTCCTCTTTTCTTAATTCTGATCTGCTTAAACACATCATTCATGCTTTTAGAATGAAGAGAAGCTGAAGAAGGCACTTACGTTTGCGAATGCTTGCGGAGCAATTTGCACGACAAAGAAGGGAGCAATTCCGGCTCTTCCAACTGCATCGATGGCAATGGAATTGGTTGCCAAGGCGAAATGAGTTATCCATGTCCCATATGCTTGCTTATCTCATGCGCTTTTCTTGATTATTTATGAACCGAGAAACTTCATCTTGTCTCAATAAAAATTATTCCTAATGGTATCCATGTATTTATCTTGTATTTTATCAAAACCGTGACCCCTTATGTTATCAAAACATAATTCCTCGTTTTGTTTATGCTATTTAATATGATGTGCCTACATTAGCCATTGTTTAGGAACAGTGACCCACCCCTTATCCTACATCAGGCTTTTAATGGCTTAATCACCAACACTCAACGTGTTTCCCTTTCCAAGCCTTTTAGGGCTCTACACATCAAAATGAGATGCTTTGGGACAAATCATTCATTCATGTAAAACATGGTAGGCTAACTTACGAGAACGTTTAATGGCCACTTAAGCATAGGCAAACTAATCCTTGACATTTGTAAAAAACTAATGCAGTAGCAAACCGAAACTAGCAATAACAAGATTGATAGAGAAATAGAAAGATTGGCAAATGAGCACTATAGCAGCAAGTAGTTGTGACAAAACTGGATGGTAGAGCAAAGTATACAGTATCATTACCGAATGTAGTCAAAAGTGAGCATTTCCAGGAGGTCTGTCTCCAGGTAAGAACTCTGTCGACAAGGTTGGCATCATCATATCTGCATGTGTTCACCCTGTAAAACAGTTCATTATTTTCAGCACTTTTGCCCCTCGCTTCAGTATATGAGCAGATAAGACCACAGAAAGCATAAATACCCCAAAAGAAAGAAGCAGAAAAGAAGGGCAGTGTATGCATCATTAGATGATTACATATCCACCACTGTCAAAACTACCAGTCCAAAACAGACATCCAGGAGGTCTGCCTCGAGGTAAGAACTCTGTCGACAAGGTTGGCATCATCATATCTGCATGTGTTCACCCTGTAAAACAGTTCATTATTTTCAGCACTTTTTTCTGGCCCCTCGCTTCGGTATATGAGCAGATAATACCACAGAAAGCATAAATACCCCAAAAGAAAAAAGCGGAAAAGAAGGGCAGTGTATGCATCACTAGATAATTACATATCCACCACTGTCAAACTACCAGTCCAAAAAAGACATCAATTTTGCTTCCAACCCCATTTGTACACAGGATATGGTAATTAAGCATATGCCATTTGCAAATAGAAGTTTAATAAAACACTACAAGTCAATACAGAAAGGAAAAAAAGTTTACAAGTTGCCATGTATTGTATCAAATATTACACAAGTTTATAATGAACATTTGCTTATAAGTTTATAATGCTGTAACCCTTTATGAGAAAAGATGATTCTATCATTTGACTGAAACAATAATGCACATAAGATCCTGATAGTTTATTGCCCTGCACCACATGAATCTTCAATATTGTGAACTGTAAACTAGTTAGTTTAACATATGAAATCATTTTATACTTCTACATATCTAACACCAATAAACAGTTAAAAACATTTAACAGTGAGGAATAACAAACTGCACCTGTTAGTTGTACCATAAAAATGTCCCTATCTGCCCCAATCGATTGAACAACAGAAACTCTTACATCAATCAGATACAACTCATTGATAACAGCATTTTTATCCATCATATTATCTGAACAAAAGGATAGGCCTACAGTTATTTCTTTCAGATTGCTGTTTATGACAAAATTTAGAATATTTGGATAAGAATCACAATCTTCAGTCGTGATCAGGAATAATTATTGGTGGAATCTGTGGGTAAGTTCAAATAAACCAATAAAATATCTCAAAATAAATATAAAACAAGAAATAAGTGTGAAAGCAATACAGTAGTAGCTTTAATATCATACATGATAGTTTTTAAATCATTAATTAGAAAAAAAAAAAAGATTGAAAACTTGAGAATTTTGTACTACCTCAATGGCTGGTCCCAAGTAGCCACAAGGAAGCACCTCTTTGTCTTGTGCAACCACCTAGATAACCTTTGGCATAAAGATGGAGTCTGATGCTCACCACAATGAATTTTCATAATGCTGTCATAGACCAAACACAAATCTGAAATGAATATGGATCGCAGAGTAATTGATCTCATTCTTATGACAAGTCTCTTTTTCTTTCTGTGATTTGCATAGAAGTACCTTCTCTATTGTAGATCCATGGAGAAGAATCTTCTCTTTCTCCGAATCATGTAAGAGAATATTTTTGCTTGTGATGCCATTAAAGTGAGTTTTTCCAGTACTTTATATCTGCAACACTCATTGGAAATAATTGACAGAATGTAGTGAAAGATTACATTAATGGCTGATGACAACTTAATTTTCATTCATTAAGAGATCATACATTCACCTCATTTCAAACAATAAGTAGACAAGGACTTGGTTGTATTTCTAATCACTACTTATCCAAAGACTGACTACCACTGAAATACAGAACTGGTGAGAAACAATGTGAACAATCTAGTGAAAGCAAACATGTCTGATGACAACTTTATTTTGATTCATAAAGAGATCATACATTCACTTCATTTCAAACAACTACTTAAGTAAACAAGGACATGGCTGTATTTCCAATCACTACTTATCCAAAGACTACCACTTAAATACAGAAGAACTAACTAAAACATCAAATAATGAAAAAAACCATAAGAGTTACTGTTCATACAACAACAATGCAAATTAATAACACTCGAAAGCAATTCCATTTCTTATTCAAGTCTGGACTAATCTCAATTGCTAGTAAAGCAACTATAAAACATTCCCATAGACCATTCTAAATAAGAAACTATCCTAAATAAATTTATGTCGACATGCATACATACCCACAAAATCGACAAAAAAAATATACCAAACACCCCAAAAGCAAGCAACAAGAAGTCTTAAGGTTCTCTGTTTTTTTTTTAGTTTACCTCCCCGACTTTCCAGTGGCTGCTGCAGGCAGAAGCTATAATTAGTTGGCTGCTATCGTTGCCATCATCTCCTATTCCTCATCATCTTGTGTTCTTCTTATGAAGGATATGCCTCAGTTGAAACCAATGTTTACAGCCTTGGCTTGGCCATGTCCAAACAATTTCATGTTATAAAGCTAAAGAATAACCCAAAATTGTATTGGCCCAATCCAGATTAGCTGGGACTTATCATGTCAGACTCATACAGTGAACCATTTTAAGATTTATGACAAATAAGAAACTCAAGTTCAATATCAGACAGAAATCTTTGAATTTAAGCTGCTTCCAATGAAGGTAATATAATTATTTATGCATATATATTCTTTTTTTCTGCTTGATGATGAAGTAATCTCAAGGAACAACTTAAATACTTCCTTTGGTACTGAAAATACCTAATTGCAGAAGTGTAAAGTGGTTATCGCTTGAATTGCAAGACAAAAAACTTGACTTAGAAAATAGACATTCAACATAAGATGTTAGAGGCATATAATCTTTTTTTTTAATAAGAGTGTTTTTAATCCAGACATACACAACCGAGATTATCGATTGCCACTGCTATTGAATTTTCAGGAGCCAATGAACAAGTCACCAATCACTTGAAATGGTCTTCACTTCTTTAAAAACATATCTCTGAATTCATCATTTGATTTTGGCTTTTTATTATCTTGATCAGGTTTTGCTTCCGTTTTAGTCTATCCAAGAAGTCTTACAAATGCTCTTGGTGTAGCAAAAGTAACACTCCGGGTGAACTTCTCATTGCTACCATGCTTATCCACAACAGTGATTAGAGAACCATCTTCTATCCAACCATTGCCTCTTGTAAACCTTCTACCTGCATAAGATTGAATCAGGAAGAAGTTTTTATATGGACAGTGATGCTAAAAAGTTGCAAAAATCCAAAATCAGCTTGTAGGGGAATTCAATCCAGAAGTAGTAAAATTGATTGGGGACAGAAGTGAGGGCAGATCAACAGGCCTTAATTTATCTGGTAAATTCCTTGTTATGATATTATCATGACGGTTTTCCAAATTCTACTAGATAGTCTAAAGGATTGTTGAAATGAGGTGATCTTCTTGGCAGAAAGGCGAAAATCGAAATGATCAAAATTAATATAAACAGGATTATCAAACATAGTGAATTGCTGAGCAAGCATGGGGAGCAGCGTCCTATGAAACGAGTGTGAATCCATAAATGAATAAGAACAGTACTCTTACCCGAGTCAAATGGAAACGGAGGCAGATCCGACATCAAAAGAAAGGGAAAACCCACATCCAATAATGGGTGAATTAAAATACGTGAATACTGTGTTCTCCAACAATATTGCCTAAATGAAGGAAAACAAATCAGATAACAAATTGTCTCAATTTAATATGGTCAAATTTAATAGTTTGAGTTATATTGAGATGATACGAATAGCACATCCATCAGCAATTACTTAGATATAGTAATACATATCCAGATTTTTTTAGGAATACAATAAATAATCATGTTAATCCTAGATCTTCATCCATCAAATCTGTAAAATTTACCAATATTATTCTTTTTCTTCGTGAAATAATTTGATCTATGGATAGCGTTATAGAAAAATCATAAATTTCTCACAGATCACAGAGTTTGTATGAAGGTCCTGAATGCCAGTATGTTCCATAGAAGAAACTACTAATCTGGAGAGTACAAAAGCACACAGAAGATTATGCTTTTCAATTGTGTATTCTGCCTATAAACAAGAAAATATGTTGTAGTTCCTTGACAAAGTGTGCTTCCTGCAAATTAGTGATAATTTCCTGTTACATGAAATAAATGAGAATGACCAATTGAAGTAGCATTAAGTCGAAAAAAAAAAAAGAAAGAATAAATGACTTCTGTGGACTGTGGATCTGATCTAACTGTAATGATATTTAAGAAACTTTCAATCAGCTAGCAGGGACTTTTGGTTTCATAAATTTGATGAATTTAATAACTAAACTAGCAAAACATCAGGAAAATATGAACTTGATATCTAGAAAAAATTAGGAAAATATGAATTTAATAACTAAATAATTGGTTTTACATCTACATGTGGAAGACTGATTACTGGGAGCAACATAAGAAAAGCTTAGATGGCTCGTTCACAATTTTCAGGTTTTCCTGAGAATGATACCACAAAGCTGGGATAAAGATTACTCTGCAAGAAGTGATCGAACAAAGTCTTAAGATAAGAACAACTTAGAGTTGTAAAAATGCGATTGATCATATAAATAAGCATTTCAAGGTGACAAACAACTGAAAAAGTCACCTTAGCAAGGGTATAAAAAAATCATTGCCTTGGAACTAAAGATTATAATTCACATAACAGGGAACATATATTGTTATGCATAATGCAAGAACTTTCTTACAGGAGCAAGACTTTTCTTGAAGGATATTTCTTACTGATATGTCTTTGTATATATTATCAGGCATCTTTGGACTAAAACTAGATAACCTTCAGACACAAGAGATGTGCATGTATCCACAAAAAAAGGGAACAAATTGTATTATTTTGTCAAAAATCCATATAAAAGCTGAACTTTCTTGTACAAAACATTATTAATGGGCTTATGGCATATGATAGAATTACTTGCTTAGGTTTTGGCACATGAACACTCATATTCAAGAATACAAGTGCATACCAAAGGAGTTTGAAGGTGTCTTCCATCCGTACTTGTAACTTTATCAAATCGAACAATTATTTCTGAAAAGGTTGGTCTCACTATAGGCTCAGGATTCCTACATTCTTCAATCAATATGCAAAAAAAAAAAAAAACATACTCTAGACATGATTTGTTTGTCATCAGAAGCAAATGATTTGGGGAATGTCTGTTTAACCACTGAAAATGACAAAGACATGGAGAAACATTTTATAATGATTGATTCCATCATCAAATTCAGTGGCTAGTGTAGAACATCACAGTTTGAATGAACATTATACTCAATTCATAGTAGGTATCAGCCAAAACATGAAGTTTGATTGGTGGAGTGTTGTTATGTTAGATAAGAATTCCTCAAGGCCCTATAAATGGCATCACTAGCTTTGGCACATTCTTACATTTTTCAAATTCAAATTTCAGTACAGAGTTAATGGTTTCCTAACCATCCTTACAGAAAATAATTATAGGGAGCTCCTATTTGCTTTGGACAATCTTTTGAAAGTAGGTAGTTACATGCCTGGCAATTTCAAGAGCAATCTAAGAACTTAATAAGGCTGCAGAAGTCCCTGAGTTTTAACAGCGAAGAAAATCAAAACATAATATGTAAGGAACTGAGATGAATATCGTAAGGCTAAAGATAAGAAGATAACATTGTGGTAAGATGGCCATGAAAGTTTTCAATAGAAAAGCAAGAAAGACGCATTACTTATATATCATAAGGCAGTAAATGTTGTATACTTCCACGTTGCCTTAGCACTTGGCATCTGCAGCAGCCTACCAAGCAGTGAACAGGCTGTGAACAATCTAATTTGTATCAGTTGATTCTTGTTCTTTAACTTGACATTTAATGAACATGTGGAAGTAAAAAGGAAACTACATGCAGCAGAAATATGAGATTTTTACCTTGCTACCCCACCGATTTCTGGCATCAACATTGGCTTTCCAGCAAAGCAAAGGTTCAAGACATCAACGTGTCCCTCACATGCCGCTATATGTAGAACCGTCCTACCGTCCAGATCAGTGCTGCTCACGTCGACGCCGTCCTTCAGGAGCACCTCCACCCTCTTTTCATCCCCATGGCAAGCCAAGAACGTGAGCTGTATGGCGGAGTCAAGGTTCTCCGGCACCGTGATCTCCTCCCTGGGGAGGTTCCTGCTCCCGTGGCACGGATCGAGCGAGGATTGCTACCCGAAGATAAACCTCATCACGTTGGCGACCTGCGGGTCGAAGGAGAAGTTGCGCCGGAAACTAAATCTCCCGCTTCTCGTCAAAGAACCCACCGAAAGCTGCCGCGCTTGAGCTGGGCCGCCACCTCCATCTCGGTCGGTCTCAGCACCTCGAATCAAAGCCCCCATCTCTCACCAATCACCCTAGAAGGGAAGAATCACGTCTTTCGAAGAGTATTCGGAAGAAAACGAGGGTTGCGATTGGATTGGCAGGGAGGCAGGCCCCGGCTTCAATCGATAACCGGGGATGAGATTGGGGATGGAGGAGAGGAAATTGGATGTAGGTGATGAAGAAGGAGGAGATGAGGGAAGGAAATGGAGGGGGGACTTTGGGGGGTGGAAAGGAGGTTGCAGGCCCTAATTTTTCTGATAACAGGGGACAAAGCAAGCAGCTATTTATTCGAGCGCGGGTGGGGAAGGCGCGGGGAATAACGGTATAGTGTGGCGTTGGCGCCTAATTTTGAACACCCCCTTCACGTTTCAAAAAGGGAATATAAAACAATTTTAAAAAGGTAATATTGGCCATTTTATTTTTTCCTTTCCCCTCTTTAAAATTATGTCATAGTCATGGTTGATAAAAAAAATTAATTATTCATCAATAATCAAACCATTTTGATAAAAAATTAATTATTCATACATACTACACATACACTATAGTAATAATATTTTGATCGACAGAAAAAAAGAAGAAGAAAAAGAAAGAGAAATAAAAATAATAAAAAATAAAAAAGATAAACAATAAATAATAAGTGGATGATGGTAGAAGACGATAATCAAATAATGGAGTCACAAAGAAATTGGAAAAGCTTATGATGAGCCCTAAAGAATCGAGGGTTTATCATATTTAAATTAAAATATTATTTTTGATTAAATTAGTTTAAATCATCCAAAATGGATTGAGTTTGCATATTAGTTTGGTTCATGCTCGGATCAGTAATATTGATTGGTTTAGACGAAATAAAGTTTCTAATATAGATTCAAGTTACTTATGTTTATGTATACTTGATAGAGTGTAATCATATACCTAATATCATTTGTCATCCATTAAAAGAACCTTAATCAATCAAGTTAAGAACCAACCTTATTACTGTATCAAGATCCACCCTCGTTTTAATTATGAACTATTAAGGACAAATAATTAAATCTGAACCATAATATGCATAATGGTTTCAGGAGTTTATTCATAAGAAAGAAAACTACTAATTCACCTTTCCAAGAAGAAAGACTTGACTGATGATTAGCTTGATGTTTATAATTTACTTGTGTTGCCAAGGCCTCAACCAATTTGCTCAGCTATTAAAGGGTAAGCATTTATTTTCCAAGAGATGAATATGATAATGACAGAGTAAATAATGTTTATACTCTGTGCTTTTTTAATTCCTGTTTTTTTCATATATATTTAGTTGACTGTTTGCTTAGGCCCTAGTTTTTTGAGCTTCTCCAACACTTGTTGACCAACTGCTATAGATGCATCACCTTGCTTTCGAGAACAGATGTCATAGAAGTCAACATAAGGTGTAAAACCAGGCATTCTAGTTTTATAATGTTTTAACTTTTTGAGACCATGATTTTAGATGTAATTTCTCTGTCATATTTCATATATGTCAACTTTTAAGATCCATGAAAGAACAAATATATGATATTTGAAAGAACTTTCAATCTCAAAATAGTATGAGAATCCTTGTTAATTTCTTAATTAGTTGCAGCCACAATATAGACCTTGTCATAAAGGAGAGATACATCTTATGACACCACAGTTTATATTATTATTAAATTAGATCTATCGATTTAATGGATCAGTTACCATAAGAAATATAACTATGATATCATTAAACTTGATATGATTTCTGCTACTTTATGCTGATGTTATTGTACTGCTGGTCTGCATTAGACACCTATGATTTGCAGGAAATTACACCCCATGATCTTTTGTTGTTAATAGAGTTAGCATCATATATTTAAGATATATTACCAACACTAATTCATGTATTTGTAATTTAGGTTGATGCAGAAGAACTGCTACATGATTGACTATATGCATTAATGCTATAGGTCTTCAGGATGTTGTCACCTTGAAAGGGGTGGAGTGCATGACTCAGTTGGATGTTAGATCATGAACATCATCCATGAGCTATAAAATCATGACTCTGGGTAAGAGATTACAAGTTTGAGATGATTCAGTATCTGTTCTACTGCTTTACATCTTATCCAAATTCCAGGACATGCTTCATTTTTGGAACTCAATCTCCATTCATTTTTCTGAAATGCAACTTTGTTGAAGTGGAGGATTCTTCTCTTTCATCTGAATAATTAATCCAACACATTGACTGCAACCATCTTTGCTCCTCTACTGCACTATCACATCAGTCTTCTCATTGCTTCCCCGGACATATGTTAGTTATCTTGGAATCTATGAGAATAATATTGGTTCCAAACCTGTTGACATGCATATATATACCTTGGCCAGGTTGAGGAGACTTCAGATGACAAAAGGACTTGGAAACTTCATATCTATGGCCACATAGAAGCTGCATTTTAGGTTTATATAGTTGTTCGGTATGCTGATGCAAAAGTAGCAGAAGAGCTATATATAGTACTGAATCAACCTATCATCATCGGATCAAGGGGGAGCATGTTGACTTCTTGCCTTGGTGGCCATTTCTTTGCCTCAGAAGCCTCTTCATTTTGGTGCTTTACTTTGACAGCAAGTCATGCAAAAGAAAAGGAGTAACAGAGAAATGAGTGAAGGTCAAATATTTGATGGTGATTCCATGTATTATATAAAAATGGGAAAAGAATTCTTTTATTGTTTTGGAAACTCTCATGTTAAAAGTACATTTCCTACCGCATACTACACATGCATTTTATCCATGATATTACATGTCATTGTAGTCTAATTAAAGTGAAACAAGTTTGAGATTCAAGACATGGTATTGGCTATTTTGTTCTTTTTTACTCCAAACGAGCCTCATGGGGATGTGTTGGATTAATCGATGCAAGTAGGAGCTCGATGTCAATGAAACTGCAAACTCCAACACTAGATCTTGCCTGCTAGGCTTTCACTGTTCATCAGAGACGACCTCACTGACTTTTCAAGTCTACTGGTCTTCTTTGAAACCTATGTATATGTTCTTTAAAGAAGACATAGGAGATCTGATCATACTCCATCTTGAAGTCCTCTCACAGGCTGAACAATCCATGTGTTCATGCAATCTAGCAACCACATCATTGTCATCTTCTCAGATGACTACCAGCCATTGGAAACTGCTATTGCTATCCTCCTTAATCCTTCTCTTTTTCTGGCTGAATACCATGTGCGAGTAAAGACTCTCTCTCTCTCTCTCTCTGTGCTTTCAATGGCAGCAAGTGGCAGGGAGACAGAAAGCATGTATTTAAGGAGGACGATACGGGGTGTGAAGGTTTGTGTCTTCTCCTCTTAATGATCTGCTTCCTGTTCCCTCCGCTTTCAACTTTTCCTACCCCTCTCCTTTTTCTCTTACAGTGTAGGAAAGCGTGCAGCTTCGCCAAATTCCAAGAAGAAGGAATGGTCAAAATAAAGAGCCCATGGTCTTGGCGCTGTCCAATTAATGCTTCCATCCCCCCATCATTAATTGCTCGGCCCCCCGTCCTCCTCCTCCTCCTCCTCCTCTCCCTTTTAACTACTGCCTTGCCTTTTTACTCGTGGGAAAAGAGATGTAAACCTCTATTCTCCTCGAATGGATCCAAGTGACTCCCTTTTGTTTTCTCATCCATGTGTCACATTATTCTCTTTGTAGGGATCAGTGCCCAAGTTCGTCTTCCCTCCTCGTCTCTGTGACAGCTACACACCCCTGAGAGCATGATGGAAGGATGCAGGAATATCTTTATCCCCCCCTAACTCTCTTTCTTCCACTGATGATAAGAAAACATGGCCATTGCTGCTTCCGAAAAGGCTGAGGGATTCACGTACAGTTGATCCTACCGGGGCGACCGTTCCCATGCACGTGGGCGTCGATCGTGGCCGTCGAATCAGGGACGTACGTCTGTGTTATTTGATTGGACGCGTCGTGGGTAGAAACCCTTTTCTTATTCGTTTGCACTGCCTATCCGTATCTCTCGTCCGCGTGAGGAGGGGTCAAAGGCTTTGATCAGTATTTTTGTCGTTTAATCACTGGCAGTCACGGAGATCGATCCTTCATCATATCTCCTACCAATATACGAGTTCAAAGATTCTCATAACCAGCCATGAGAGAGTTTGAACTCCGATACTCAATGATGCTCAGTAAATACGCCTTAAATCCTACGCCACTGACTTCTGTTGCGTTCACTACCGTTTCCTGAAGAGTCGAACACCGTAGAAAGAGAGAGAGAGAGAGAGAGTCAGAGTACAGGGTGTTCATTTGAAGGAAACAAAGGGATAAACGGAAGAAGAAGAAGAAGAAGAGAGACGAAGCATAATGAGGATGGATGGGAGGGACGAGGCATGCACGGGTCACATCCGTGGGTTCACCGGAGTCAGAAGCCGGGGTGGCGCATGCAGCAGGGCAAGGGAGGAGACGTGAGCAGAGGCGGATCACATTGAAGGACGCGGAGGCGTCATCATTGCTGAGGCACGTCACCATTGTCACCGCATGTAAGCGTGTTCTCTTTACTGCGTCTTTCGAAGGCTGCAGAGGTGAGGGCGAGAAAGAGAAAGCCGAGACATGTATCGTTCTTCCACGTACAAGCTCATGGATTTCTTCGTCCCTTCAAATCGCCTGCTGCTTCATCTGGTCTTGTTGGGTAGGTGGGGATTGGTGATGACGGTACGTGCAAACGGTGCCAATACATTTAACACCCCACCCTGTGCAGAATGGCATTTTGGGGAGGCCTTCATGGCTCCTTTCATTAATGCCTCCCACCCTTTCTGTTTCAGAGAGCCTCGCCTTTCTTGTCTCTCCTGCCATCCTCTGCAATATGCTTTCTGCCTTCTACACCTCCCTCCCTCGTAATCTGCATTTTTACCCACATAAACAGAGAGAGAGAGAGAGAGAGAGAGAGATTGTAGTAATGCATGGGATAGAAAAAGTCAGTCTTAATTTGATCTGAGGCATCTTTTGCATGCCTTCGCCTACATCTTACTCTAGCTTGGATCTTCTCAACAAGAGTGTCAGATCCACAATAAAATGATATGAGTGAATGAAGAAAAGATATATACACTTCTGTTTATTAGGATCGATTCCTTACATAAATCCTTAAATAACATCCAAGCTTTTTTTTCTCATGCAATCTAATGGATAATTGTATTGCCAACTCGTAGATACATTGCATGCATGAACCGTTTGTAA